CTCCGAAACTTTTCCCAGATATGAAAGACTTCGGTTGGCCCTCCGAAAAAGGAGAACTTGCCGAAACGTTAGCCAATAAATTGTCAATCTCAACCTCGTGTGCAGTTCAACAAAGTTACACCATCCAATCACTAACATGCCGAGGTTCATCGAGAGTCGAGCATGGCGTATGCTCAGGAAGTTCGAAAACCTTGTACAAAAAAGCAAACGTTATGAGTGCCAAAAGTTCATGATAACTGATGGGTGCCGGCGCGTGCCGTTTTGTTTTCTCTCTTTCGATGCACCTCATTCTCTTTATGAACTTCACTCACGTCACTGCTTAGACGCGATCACCTTGCATTGTGCAGCTGTCGGCATTTATTTTGTTGTCACGGTATAATGTTGGCGTAAGAACGACCAAGTGACTTGAATGGGCAGTAAACGATTACCGCTTTCCATGGAAAGTGATCCAACCAGTATCACATCTAGTTGTGTTGCACTAATAACCTTCGTTGAAGGAAAGACAATCAACGAACGCAAACAATCAGTTCGTTCTTGAAGGCAATGTAGCCGCAAATAGATATTATGTCTTGTTCATAATTCTTCGACTTTTACTTTCGAAAACATAACAAGAGAAAAATATCGCTTAACCTGGTGTAGTTCGGGGAGCTCAAAGTAAGCCTGAGCTACCGGAAGCATTGGAAGAAATTAGTAAGAGATGTGTGACATTTTTTTTGAATGGAACACGTATTTTCGAGATGCCTCCCAACTTCGCATTTTTCTTGCTTTTTGAATCTCCGCAATGACAGAAAGCGCCCTATGTTGGAAGACAACTGAATACGCTGGCATAATCCCCACGAGTTCAACTAAGGCTCAACCGTCCGTTCGCACCATTCGAACGAGGGGAGGCGATTTTAGGAGCGGCTTATATTTAGGGCTGATCGGAGAACGGAGTCGTTTTGAGTTTCTCGAGAATTTGGGCGTAAAGTTAACGAAAGAGGCTTACAATAGAGAAATATAAAAGATTCGTGGCTTCAATACCCCACCCGCGCTCGATGACATGGGGAGGGGTAGTGAGGCCGCGAAAGTACATAGGTGTCCAGTGATCTCAGAACCAGATACTTAAAGGCAAAGTTCGGGCTCAGACCCACTTAATGAGCCTTTACGGTGGCTAGAAGCGCTAGGTACGCAAGTGTAGAGGTCGCGTCACTTCCCTACTTCGAAAAGCGTTACTTAGACGCTAGGCGCTAAGAACTTTGACACGCTCCACCTGTTGCGACACGCTCCGCCCACCGCTCGATATCTTGTCTGCGTCGCTAACTTGATCTGCTATGCTCTCTCTACTCGTACTTCTCTAGCGCTCTCCGCGCTCACATTATCTCTCATCTCCCTGCCGGCCTTTTGAACTTCTCCGCAGCGTAGAGCAAAAGGCTCGTATTTCCTGTGTATTTCGATTTTTTTTTCTTTTTTCTCCACTGGCGGTCCACTTCCTACCCCTACTTTCACATTTGAGTGGAATTACCTCATAATTTAATCCTGAATCTTGCCTTTAAGGAAATAGTCAGATGGTGATGGAGTGGGTGGTCAGGATTGGGGTTGGGAAGGTAGAGACATACTAGGGTAAGGGTGATGGTGATGGTGGTTGTTCGAGACCCCTTGAGCGTGGGTTGGGAGTCGTCAAATTTTTTAAAAAGTGCGGATGCTACGGCTTGCTTTTTGAGAAAAGCAGGCTTTTGAAGCGTGGATTCTATGCCTTCAAGAATTTTGTGGAGCGAAATAATACGTGTTATTCCATAATTCGGATTTCGGCCCTTTCCAAGACATTCATTATGGGTTTTTCTTATAGGGATGATTTGAAGGGCTCACATACATCTATCTTTCGATGTGTGCCATATAATTGCAGGAAACGTGTGAAGAGTCTGAAGAGCAGTCAGTTGTACGTCAATCATTCCCTACTTACCTGCGAAAATGGAGGGGGTCTCGACAAGTGCTCAAACGTGTATATGTCAAACGAGGCTCGCACTGGGTACTGAAGAAAGTGGTTGTGAGATCGAATCCCTCGGTGAGTTCCTGATTCTCGTGGATCTTTGCCTTTCTGTCTGGACATATGTACTTTAAGAAAGACTCGCCAACGAAGCAGCTCCCTTCACAACATTGGCAGGCAGTGGCCAGGAAGCAATAAGAAAAACCACGAACCAACAAAACCGAGTCAGACGAAAGCCCACCCAGGAAAGCGCCGCGGATTGTAAAACGAATTTTGGTCAAGGATGGCACCGCTGTGAGTTATCCTACATTCTAGAGGTTTTGGTCCGTACTGCATAAGGTAGAAGTTTTGAAGCGTGCAATGTGATTTCAAGGTTTCTTAGCGGTTTTGTTTTTGTGCTCTTTCAGTGAGTCACACCTATTCCACCGCAGAATGTTTGTGTGCAGTGCTATAATCGAAAGTGATACTTGGCTGTGTGAAAGTGTGAAAGAAGAGGAAATGGTCTGGTGGTGTTTATCCCAAATCGCTTGTTACAGCCTCTTGCAAACTTTCGCAATGGGCAGTCGGTTTCAACGAGGCAGCCGGAGCAGGAACAAAATGGCAGCCAATCCGATCACGGGAACATTTTTGAAGAATCACAAAAAATCGTCGAGCTTGTTGTAGACCCTGATAAAAAACCAGTGAGTGCCTCTTCAACCAAGTCTTCTTTGCTTTTATCCTACATGTATGTGGGAGAAAATTCTGTTGCTTTCTTCTACTACCTAGCCTTACTATCTTTCCATCCAAGACTTGTTTGTGGTGGCCTTGATTCCACTGAACATCGTCTTAATATCTCTCTACCTATTTTTGGGACCACTCATGGTTTCTTGCCATGCGCTTCGAGATGAACTCTACTCTTATTGGATGACCCTGTGTCCTCATGTACCCTCAATACGTCCCCGTACCGTCGCGCAATCGCAGTTCACGTGGCTTCAATCGGAGCGGTTGATCACCACCCTAGCGTAACCGTTACTGATGGTGCCTCCTTTGATCCCTCTGCAAGAGCATCTCAGCATTCGCATTCTGACGGAATGTGAACGTGGGGGGTGTAACGCGCCAATTGCGTTGCAGGGAAGGCCGGAGGCATATCCTTGCGAATTCCGTGTCGGTCTGCACCATTAGGGATCCACCTGTCTTTCCAATACATGAATTACCCCTTCAACCTTCGCCTTATCGTGGAAACCTCCTTTAAGGGCGGATTTTACGAAGAAGAGGTAGCTTAGTGAAAATGAGGGTAGAGGTTGTTGTGGATACACAACCTATATATTTCTACTAGAACTAGGATTCATATAAGTGAGTGATAACGTGCTAGTTCAAACTATTTACCTTAGGACGTTCTATAGATGAGTATCCCTTGAAACGCTTTCATCCCCTGAGCTTGAGTACCGCCACTGGCCCCCACGGTCCAGCGACGACACGGTATCTAAGGGCCGCTCACATTTTCTGTATATAACCCCCATTGAATGCATTAGGCCGATGTCAGACTTTGCGAATCGCGCGATTCGCTAGCGTCTGCGGTCGCGTCGCGGCCAGTGAATCACTCAATTGGCTGGTACCGCAACGCGACCGCGGACGCTAGCGAATCGCGCGAATCGCTAGTAGCGAATCGCGCGATTCGCAAAGTCTGACATCGGCCTTATTGTCGTCGATTCTTACAACAACGCGTCGTACACGTCACTGGTTAAGTCTTCCACTGGCTCACTAGCCAAATGGTCAGTGAAGCAGGGATGAAGAAGAAACCATCCGCCCTCCCGAGAAATGGTACCTTCCTTGCCCGTTGATTTGCGCATTGATGCGACTCTCATCGCTGTGCCCTCTTCAACACTACGCTCTCTCTGCTATCTAATCACTCGCCACGTATAGACCTGCGGCGAGTGATTAGATAGTCGGTGGGCGTTCCGGCCAACTGCGCCAAGGGAAGGCCATGCTAGATCGCCGGGGCATATCCTTCGATGCGAATTGTGTGTTGGTCCGCACCCTTAGGGGGTCCGCCTGTCTCTCCACTAGATAAGTTTCCCCTTCTTTCTCTTTTTTATCGTGGAAGCCTCTTCAAAGTAAAGGCGCAAACCCGCAATTGAATCGATCCCACGAACACTTGCTCAAGACACCGCTCTACTACGTTACGTTTTCTCCGTCCACAGAATCGTTTAGCATACTTCGATGGCAAATTTGGAATTACTATTCCAAAACGCATGTATAATAAACGTCCCATTTTGAATGGCCACCTGCGTGTCCCTTCTACGATAGTTGGATCACTTGGTCTCTTCTATTTCTTTCCATTCGAAGGAGTGGAAGCAGTGTTTTCTGAGGTCAAGCACTTGTTATCTGAGGAACTCCATGGCAATGTCCATTAATAGGATCTCGTGCAGAATGGTCAGTTTCCCCTCAAAATTACCGCGATGTCTTTACACACTTGAAGCATGTCGTTGTGTTCCTCCACCCCTGTAGTTTGCCTACAATGCTTTCCTTTTTCGGAGAGCCTGATTTAGACCGCAAAGGGCGTCAGATATGGTCAAGTCTAGGAGCCGCTCTCCCACAGCGTTTCTCAATCGCATCCCCCCCCCCCGTGAAACCCTTTCCAAGCTCTCTTCCGTCGCTCCGACGTGATCCTTCAAATTACCTGCCATGGAGAGATAATCCGGTCTGATAGTGTCATTAGGGCTAGATAGAATTCATCCTTCTCCACTTTTGGGAGAACCTACTTGCGATGCGCTTACGGTACTATTGTGCAGTAGCCCTCCGTTGTCGTGATTCTCACAGACATGATTCTGTCGTTGATCTTGTTCACAATACTGTTCACAGCAGAGACACAATTTTAAAGTCACTCCGTTACCGCTGCGATAGCGCCTTTCCGCTTGGGATTTCTCTGTTGGGATTTCACAGTTTACACCTCTCCAATACCCCTGGCCTTGTTTTCCTTCCTCGTGTCTGCTGGAGTCCCAAGCTTTGGATTTTCTGTGCTCAATCAAAACAGCGACTACAGTAGATTTCCCTATTAGCGACCTTATACTCAACGTTCCAACTGGAATTAACCTCCTTCTTCGAAGTCGTTCACCTATCGCCCACTGAGCGCAGGATCGAGAGAGGGTTTTGTGGGCTGCTAAAGAGTTACTTTCCAGCATTGATACTTTTAGACATGATTGTGGGTTCGGGAGTTTGTGAGCCATCGACAGAAGTTTGACGCTGGAATCATTCGCGCATTTTTTGTAATTACTGCAGGACTAGGAATGATTCTTCAAGCCTTTCAAGATTGAACTTTTATACAAGGCTTACGTTTCGGCTTCTTCGCCTTCGTCAGAGCCTTGAACTCCGCCGCTAAGACAGGAGTTCAAGGCTCTGACGAAGGCGAAGAAGCCGAAACGTAAGCCTTGTATAAAAGTTCAATCTTGAAAGGCTTGAAGAATCATTCCTACTGAACTAACCATGCCAAGATTGCAAGAAGGTCGAACATGGACTATACTGCAGGACAGTTTTACTCGACCCTCCTAGTGCAGCATACGTTTACATTACTGACCATGCTCGTATAGAGCAAAATAACGAGATCCATAAGGCTCTGATAAAAGTTGCTTACTTAAGAATGCCTCCATTCAAAGCATCATAGAAATGCTTTCAAGTTTCCATGGGATTCTGACTGGAGGTCTGGTTAAATCAGTTCTTACAGGAATGATTGTTACCAGTGCAGACCAAAACTGTCACGTGAAGTTTCCAAGCAAGTTGTGAGCGCTGGCAGGAAGTGCAGCGTCAGTATTTAAAAGACGAGCTAATCTATCCGTAGCAATTTTTTTAAACTTTTCTGGGAAGAAGCTTATAGAGGTGAATTAGTGACTTAATCACACATATGGTATTCGTTTTCAACAAATGGTACGCAAGTTGTGAGCAACTTCAGCTGCTCACAACTTGCTTGGAATGTTCACGTAACAGTTTTAGTTCCATGTTTGTGACCACTACTCTTTATTATGTCGATTTCCTCAGTTCTTCGTTCAAAGACCATGGGAAATTTGAAAACGAAATTATTTTCCTACCTATGTAGTGAGAGAAATTTTCCCTCCTCGAAAACTGGGGTCGCAGTGACAGTTGTATTCATGAAACCCTCCTTATGTGCTTCTCCATCTGATCTAAAGCTCATAATTTCTAGGATTCCCCCGCCTTCGAGACTGATCGTGACCTCGTGAAGCCGCCACCGATGCAGCAAAGCAGCAAAATCGCGCGAGTCTCCGAATTGATTCGTAAAGGCAACCTTTCCACAGTCGTCACAAAATCACAAGAAAGCCAAGCGGGAAAGGAACCAACTTGCCTGATTTGTGGGAAAACCAAACCACCTCTTGACGTCGGAGGACGGATAGATTGGCTCTGCTGCTCCAATGTGGCGAAGTGTCGAGCACGAGCGCATGAACAGTGTCTTCGTGGAGCACGATTGAGATGTTTCGTATGTCACACAGGATCGTGGACAGTTTCCAAGGATTATGATGTAGCTGATGCTCAATCTTTGTTTGAGGAGCAAGAGGTGAAGAGCGTGCCGCTCATTCTACAGAAGTAAACTGATAAGTTAGAGTATTCTGTTGTTATAGGGCAGATTTTCCTATCTAAGTCGTAACTGGTTTGTTGTTTTGTTTTGTTTGTGAATTTCTACCTTAATCTTTCATAGGAATAGCTTCGTTTTTTTTTGTTAGCAGTTACCACAAAATTAAAGCAAACACACTCTCACCTCAGAGATGAAGAAGTAGCCGCAGTACTCGTTTAGAATTATACGCGGTAGCCACAGAATTACGGTAACAAGAGCGGCTGTATGCATGTTTAAGACCAAAATGAGATAATTTTGACTGTAAGGCTATAGTGCATCAAAAAAAAACATCTCCTAAGGCGAAGGCCCGCGAGCGCAAAGAAGCCCAAATTCGAAATTCCTCTGGAATGGGTTACACGGACTAGCTCGCTCTTTTCTTAATGTTAGCACCAGCCAGTTTTGAGAGTAACACTGTTTTGTTTCTTAACCTTCAATAAATATAGCTATGTTTTCCGATTGCCATTAACATGCTGTTAGAATTTCCGTGATTCTTATTTCCGTAATCTGTGGCGACCCTAAGGAAAGCAATTATATATTTTTAATTTTGGTTTTGCCGTGTGTATTGTTACTTTTACGTTGTCAAAATAATGGTCTTTGTGTATAAATATATAAAATACAAAATTTTCCGTGTTGTTTAGATATCGCAGCAGTAGAGCAAGTGGATCACAAGTCCCACTCCACTATTAGCAAACGTTGAGTCAGAGGCGACAAAATCATTGCAGCAATTTTCAGAAAAGAATTCTGCGATAAGGAACCCGCGCATCGTGCAGCACCCTTAGGGGGCCTGCATGATGCCTTCGGATGAGTATATTTCCCCTTCTTAGACCCTTTCCGCAGCGAAGACCATGACCCCAGCGACCCAGAGCGGTCATACTCGCACCGCTCACGCCCGGAAGCGCTCCGTTGCAACGCCCTCCGTCTATGCCGTCGACCATAGCATTTCGCAACAAAAAGAGTTTATTTGCGTTAAAGAGGACAGTACCGGTGAGAGTCGCATCAGTGCGAAATCCACGGGCTAAGAAGTGGTCCCATTTCTGGGGGTTCTGAGCTTTTCTCACGGGTTTTCCTCCATCCCTGCACCTCTAACCCCTCCGCCTTTCCGTTGGGCTGGCTTTTCATCGTAAACTCTTCCTTAAAGGAATCTTGCGCGGAAAATTCTTGCACTCTTTCCTAACATGAATATGTCAGTTGTGATCACTGGAAATAGCACACAAAGTTTCACGCATGAAGATTCGGTTTCTGAAGAGAAACAAACGTACAAAAACTACACGTTATGGACCATCGAAGGACCAGGAGGCAGAGCCAGGCGAGGCATGGAAAGAAGACGGCGTTTGGCCGGCTACGTACCAGGCGACGCAATGAGAGAATCGGGTTAAAGCGCGCGATTTCGGAGAGTGGAGACAAATCGATCGATGGAATAGGATGGAGTAGAAGTGTAAGATGTGAATGCAACGAAGCAGAAGGCCAGAAAGAGCTTCTAGTGAATGCACTCCAAGAACCAAGTTTGAGCATCCCCGTCGCCAGCATTCGTGAAAGACGTCCGTGGGCAATTCGAACGCGTAGCAGCCTTTTCGAGTTTTCGAATTTCTAATCAAAACGAAAGCAATACTTCAGTTCTTTTCACTATTATCGTGGATAATGAGTCTCAAGCCAGTGATTTATGGCTGAAATAGAATCATGATTTTTCCGCGCAAGATTCCTTTAAGTCATGCCCGTTACTGGAACGAACGAGCGAAGGAATTCTGAACAGTTCTAAGGTCTAGAGGAACCCTTATCCCCATCCAGATAGCATTTCACCCATCGTCAACCACTCAGATTTGCAGAAAACCGACTATACGATGAGGTAATGCTAATTTGTTGTAGGATCCAAAAACTTTTTCATTCTTAGTATCTTCGAGACTGAAGATGCAGCTTGGAATGGGAGAACTGATACCAGCTGAGCTACGCCTAATCCACTAATAGTCAAGAGAACCAGAAATGGTTCTCGATGCTAGCAGTAAGTGCTCTTGAAATTGTTTTTCAAAGCATGAAAAGTGCCTGTGAGCTGGCGAGACATTTCCAGCTGTCAGCTGAAACCACTATATTGAAGACAGTAAAAACATCAGGTTTTATTCAGTTTGTGACTGGAGTTCGGGTAAAGGAACAAGGAAGTCTCGATAAGCAGAGATGGAAGAATTTGACAAGTCTGGGCTTCCATTCCTTCGGTTACCCCTCATTTGAGTGTAAGAGAACGCTCGTCAAACTGATGTACACATGACTTTCCTTTTAAGGAACTCCGATTTGGCTATTCTTCCAGCAAAAACTGTGAAGAATGGATTAGGGTCATCCTTAGAACGGTAGTTAGGACGAGGGTGAATATCGGAAATCCTCGACAGGGGGTCGTACTTGTCAGGCTGGGTCATGGGGGTCGTACTCGTGGGGGTCAGTAACATCAGTGGCATCGTGGTGCAGATAGGAGTAAGAGGGTGTAGCGCAGCAGAAAACGAAGATATGTGAGGAAACATGATTAAAATATTCTTTGCAGGTTCAGTCGCTCATTCCTCTACCTTCATGAGAAGGAGGTATTTGAAAGCAGTACAAAGAATGAAAGTGCATCTCCGCAAGGAACGGGGCCACATGTGCACACGCGCTGCAAAGGCACCTCCTTTATCTGCCGCCCGCTCCCTCTCCCTTAATACCTCGTTGAGAATGACACTGTTGTTAGGGACGCTGTCAAAAACGACAATAGTGAAGGAAAGCCCTGGGCAAATGAAGCTGTTCTTTAGGTTATAGGAGTTACGAAATGTGTTTACTACAATGCAGCTTTGTCAACTGGTCATGATCATATAACACCTTCCAATCGATTCTGCAACTTCGAGTGCATGGCCTATACCCAGACAAAATCGGATGATGACGATTGCCCCTTTTCTTATTGCTTATGTTGAAAGAATGTATTCTAGACACATTTCGAGCGTTGCCAACGAATTACACTTGCAATGGTGAAGAAGGGAGCGGCTTTTTGAGCGGCCGAGAATCATCCTCGATAGATCCTCGACGCAAATATCTCCTCAACTAGAGAATGTAGAAGGAAGCTAAACATACTGTTAGAAAGCGCAAACCTTCCGCTTTCCAAAACTGTCTTCGTTTTTCAAGATCTTGCGAAATTAGAGAGATATTGCCTTTTAAGTGGCAAAAACTCGCATGAAAATTTCAGCATCCTCGACGTTCCTCGACGGATTTTGAGAGACTATCTCTTCGAATGGAAGGCTTTCATAGCAATTTCAATACTGCCTGATAGTAGCAAATCTAGCTCTATCTAACCCTACCGCGTGCTGCTCAAAAGGTTGGGAAATGGAGGAATGGAACCTTTTCATCGAGGGTGTAGATTTCGACGGTTTTTTTCGGGATTTCAGCAAATCTGACCCAGTGACAATCGCGCCGCAGCTGCCGTTGAATCGGCCGTTGATACACTCGGCTGTTTTGATATACTCAAGCAGGAATTAAGATTGAATCGCAACCCCGTGCCTTCAGGATTTCTGTGCATTTCTGAACGAACCTGACTTTGAGGTCACACAAAGTTAATGCCTCTTTCCTCGAGTCGATATTTCAGTAAATACACAAAAGTGTGCAGCGATGAAAGAAAGTGCATAGATGACAAGATGAGGCGTCCATAACATTATTTTGCAGGATTTTTTGATTAATTGAATTGAATTTGCTCTGTTTTAGGGGGTCGTGCCAGGATCTCGATTTCGGGGGGGGTCGTACTTCTGCGACCACGTACTCGACACGATTTTCACCCTGGTCAGGACTGGTTCAAAATGACTATTCAACTACACAATAGATGTAATCAGCTAACTTTTGTTTGGCCCTTTGGTTAGCTGTCAACAAATTTACTATATACCATTTTATTCAATTCCCTCAGTAGGGTACTTCTATACATCGTAAAAACAAAATAATATGAACACTGACACTGTAATTTAATTATTTGTACAGTAAGTTTGATCGCGATGACCGTACATATGTATTATTCGCACATATATATTATTCGCTAAGTGAGCATCAAGTGAAAGAATAGATTTGAATCTCAATCAGAAATGATTATGTACATTTCAATTTTGTTCAATTTTGTCTGGCTCTTGCCTCCATTTCCATAAGTTTTCTTTCATTGGAGAATTGCACACCTGCCATTTCCAAAATAGTCTTATCAGGATTATCGTCCCAATTTCCAGGTAGCGGCACCTGAAACAGAAAAGCAGTCGACATTTTCAGAAGGAAGTCGATATTTCACACTGTCGAAATTAACTACACCCAACATGAAAATCTACATGCTCATACTTACGCCGATGTCAGACTTTGCGAATCCAGCGATTCGCTAGCGAATCGCGGGATACGAGCGTTGCACCAGCGAATCGAGCTGTCACCAGCGGATCGAACGATGTACCAGCGACTCAACACTGTTTGAAAGTGGCGGGACTCCCTCTCGTTTGCATGTTGACTCTCGCCACTTTCCCGAGCTCTCATACCCTCTCACTCTCTCATGCCCTCGTGAGCTGGAAAGTGGCGAGAGCCAACGTTCAAAGGAGTCCCGCCACTTTCAAACAGTGTCGAGTCGCTGGTACATCGTCCGATCCACTGGCACATAGTTCTATCCACTGGTACACACCTGCTGGTGTAACGCTCTTATCCCGCGATTCGCAAAGCTTGACATCGGCCTTATTCGCTAGCGTGCATAGAACAAATTACTGAAAAAACCAAAACCGACCTTTTTAATTTTTTCTGCTTGCTTGCTTTGCCACATTCGTAGTCGTTGTTGGTCTTGCAAAGCACTTGATGGAGCACATCCCCAAACCTAAATAAAATTGATACATATTGGTTTGGGCTCTTCGTAATAGTTACTCCGTCATGACTCAGCTGTGAAACAGCGCCTCAGCAAAAAGCTCAAAATACTGAAAAACCTCGATCCAGTTCCATTTCTCTAAATATGAAACAAACAGATTGGAAAAATTTCGAGCTTTCGATAAAACTTCTCAACTTGTTTGCTTCGAGTTCATGGTTCTTGGAGCACTGAGTCAGCGCCGTACTTAAAGGTAGATAGTCTATAAGTAACTGTAGATGGTCCGTTGAGAATGACATAACAGCAGCAAATCATGCAGCGGTAAAGGAAACACCCACAGAAACGGCCCGAAACCGCGAGAACTTATGAATTTCTTAGAATTACACTTGCGACAAATCTTAATTTCTGACGTGACGTGCATCGATGTACTTTTATGAAGACATCCACGAGGTACCAGGCAAATGTGGCGCAAATGCCCCACACAGTGTCACTGTCATTGGAGCGTGAGGGATCACCTTTGAAGATGAAGACCGATTTCGTAACTGTAAGCGTAGACTACTGCAGTACCACTCTACCTCAATAGCAGCGACATTTCCCATTTCCTTATCAATCTTCATTCTTTCCATGAACGAGAGTCCAAATGCTGCAGATCGTATTTTGAAATTGCAGTATATAGACGAGGAAGGGGAAGAGAAACGTTTCAGGTCCGGAAAAACTTCGAACAACGTTGTTGCTGGTCCACCAAAACGACTGGCGCTGTGTCTAAAGTACTCAGTTTTTATTCGAGGGTAAATCTGATCCAATGAATGCTTACCTCCATGTGTCTTCTGTAGCCAAGACAAAGACACTGCTGTCACTAAGTTGAAAAATCGAAACTGTAGGCCCTCTGTAGTCAAAAACGTTGTTTTCAAAACGATTCACACTAATTCCATGAACAGCAGTCGAATACAGCGGAGTCCACGAATTGTTCACGATTGTTTCGTGAGATTCCTCGGAATCCGGGAATGTCAATAACGAAGTTTTGATGAAAAACATGCACAAATCATTGAAACTACATACCTCTGAGGACTTTTTCGGAAAGAAAATACTCTGCAGGGATGACTGCACATACCACATTTGCATTGGAGTCAATATTTCAGACGAATATTCTACACTCCTCTGAAAAATCGTGAATGCAAATGAAAATAATTAGAAGCAACCATGGTAAATGATATTACGTATGCGTAGTCTAGGAAAACATGAAGAACAAGATCTCGCAGGGCATCGCAAAAGGATGGACACATGGCGTGCTTCCAGCTGACGATTTCCTCAACGCTCGAACCTCGCTCGCACTAAATGATTGAATTCAAATGATATTTCACTAATGCAAAGGCTCGCGAAATGTCGTAGCATTCTGAGTTAATATCATAAAAGTAAATTATCAGTAAACAATGCAACCATCCTAAGGATTCACGAAGATAAATTGGTTTTGTTCAAGCAGCCGCTAAATGGAAATAAGGCCGCACCCTTCATCACCGCTTTGAAGATTTGGAGGTTTAGATGTCCAGCTGAAACAATGACAATACGCTAATTCCAGAGCGCATTTGATGTTTCAGCTGTATCTCCTAATCCCTTGATCCCCTCCTCTCCTACTTTTTCATCACCACATACCTTTTTGTTACCTTCTGATCTCCGAATCGTTCAAAATGCCGAGTACAAACGAGTCTAACAACAAGTTTTCTTAGGGCACATGCATAATCGGTCGCCCGATCGTAACGATCGTGACGATCGCTATGATTGCTGATTATGAATTCCTAACAAGGAAGGTCTTTCAGGGTGTGCCAAGCTTTTTCAAAACGGTCTTTTGCATGATATAGGGGCACATGCGGGAACCACAGAACCATGGTTAATTTTTCCTGAACGGCCCTCTGAATACCAGAAAAGGGGGTCCCTAGTCACACCTTTTTCACCAGTTTTTCAATCAAAGTCTATTTGTAAGGGTTACTGACGTTCCTAATCATGAATATGGTACTAATTATTCATGCTAACTCCATTTTGCGCGAATTTTGAAACGTCAACTCGAAATGCAAAAATTGTCACCGAACTAGGGACCCCTTTTCTGGTATTCAGAGGGCCGTTCAGGAAAAATGAACCATGGTTCTGTGGTCCCCATATGTGCCCCAATGTCATGCAAGAAACCATTTTGAAAAAGCTTGGCACACCCTGAACGACCTCCCTTGTAAGTGACTTCGGTAGCTAAGATCAAGAAAAGAGGCTCGTACAAGCCCCAACACAAGACATACCTTGCCATTTTTTACACGTGGAAACGCGGCTTCCTGTACCATTGCAAAAGAGATAACCCCTCACCATTTCATGAACGAGATTACCGATGAATTTCTCGTCTCCATCGACAGCTCCTGCTCCTGCAGCTTCAGAACAGTGTTTGATCATGGTCAGTACAGGTTGGCAGACTGCAAATAATATTGTTCCTCGATTAGACACTGGGGCGAGGAGACTGGTGATGGACTCCTCACCTTTCACATAAACATCTGTTGAAGTTCCCCACAAACTAGGCGCATGCCTTGCAAACTCGTCCAAAGTTAATCTACCATCATAAGGCTTAGAATCACTCAAATAATTCCATAAGCTCTCTGCAAGCCCTTCGCTGAAAACTTCCTGAAAACTATTTTTGTTGATTCATCTTTCTAATTTTACAAATGACTGAATCCCAAAATTCTCGAACAGAGGAAACGCGGACACCCTGCTTTGCAGGTTTCAGCGCTGGTCATGGGTAAGGCGCTATTCAGATTGAGCTTACTCCCTATCTATGAAAGTGGTCAGGATCACAGTTCTTGGCAGGAAGTGACGGAAGTCCTAGATACTGTCGTAATTGGGGGGAGGGGGACAGTCGCCGCCGTGTTGCGCGACTCCAGTGATATCTGGGATAGTCACAAAGATTACGCTCGTCCAAAATGAGGAATTCATGAGCCAGGGGAGCGCCACCGGTTAAGGATTTGGGTCGCAAGCCACTTGAAAAGCGTGAGAAGCTGAGATGCACTACCGTGATGAAAGTTAGACATGGCGAGCGGTGCGGTAGGACAGGAAGCAACCTTTTCGCGTGAAACATTTTTCGCTGCGGGAACCTCGGGTCCACTCATGATAAGCGGTGGACCTGAGGTTCCCGCAACGAAAAATGTTTCGCGCTGCGAACGCGAGAAAATCGCTTTCTGTATTGCAAACCAAACCCCAGCACACAAAATTCTAGGACCCTCCAAATCTAAATCTATAAAAAGTTGAATGGATATTTATCTAAACCTTCTCGCGAATTCCGTAACTGTCCTCTAGCTCCATGAGAAGGACAGCAGAAAAGGATTACAGTCTATATCTCGAAGTCTGATTAGACGGTGGGGGGCTTCGCACTTGATAGAAGTCCTGTGGGTAAGATATTTCTTCTGACATACTCTGTTGGATATCAGTAAAGCATGATGGAAGCAGCTTATCCGTGCAGCTTTTATTAAAGGAAGCGATTACGATAAGGAATTTTCGCATCGGGGAGAACCTGCGCCACACGGAGCAATTACTTGGCTGCCAAGGAAGCGATGTGTGGCCCTCCCACGGCGAAAGGTGCTGTGGTTGCTGAGCAGGACCCGCGTGACGCCCCGCCCCCAGTGACGTGACGCCCACTAGTTTTGTTGATGATCTGGATGGACTGTTTGCTGTTGGCTTTTCATTTTGGATGATCATTTCCCTTCTAGCGGCTGTATCTTCCAACTTGCCCATGTATTGCCTTATCAATCAAAACACTATGCTTGTTGGCATGATGGCGGCTATCGGGGTTAACACGTCCGAACAACGTCATTCTTTACCGTCGCTCATCCATGGTCGAAAATGAAAGGGCAATCAAAGGGGTACTATTTTGCTTATTTTTGACGGATTTCTTTGCTTTTTTCGCCATTGGCGTACTATTGAGACCCTCACGTCCCCTCTAAACCCCTGTGAGATCTATCGTAATCGCTGCCTTTAAAGGAAGTGGTCACGATAATTCTCATAGGGAACGATAAGGAAAGCTGTGTATGGAGTGGATAGGGGTCCTGCCCAATGTTACAACACGTGAAGTTTCAGTGGCAGTGGCGCCTTATCAACGGAGTGATAAGGCGCCGAAATCCACTTCCGTTCAGCAAAAACCAAGACTTATCGATGTGGAAAGGGGTGCGATAAGTGCTAGATATGATACCGTTATCGTTATCGTCCCGTTTTCATTCTGGAGTGCACCTCTTATCAAGCAGCCGCACCTTCTTATCTCATCGTATCATATCTTCCATGGGCTTACACTCGTCCAACAATTACTGCCTCACACCTTATCGATTGATAACGCGAGGGTAGCAAAGCCAGCGTGATCGCTTCCTTTAAGTGCGGCGGCCGCCACGTCAAATCCATAGACACGCCTAATCAGACTTCGAGATATGTACTGTATGCGCGTCAATATGAACTTGATTTTTTTCTCACTTTTATTTCGCGATGAAGCCAATAGTGAGCGATACCTCCAACCAGTCCCAGACTGCGAATCCAGCGGATCGCGGGATAGAGCGATGCGCCAAGGGTCAGCCTGAACGATGCAGCGATGGTGTGAGCAAATGGCTAGACCCTGAAATTCGCACGTTCACTCTAGCCACTTTCATAGGCTCTCGTGCCATCACGTAAGATGTCGGTCAGACTCTGTGATTGCAACGCGATGGACCAGCGACGGAGCGAGCGATCGCTCCATCGACTTGAGCTCTGTACTGTGCGAGAGTAGTGCCGAGAGTGAACGTACGCGCGGAGAGCACAGACGGCTCGCGCATGGCGAGTGTGAATGTCCGCGCGGGAGAGCGTAACTGATCAGGCGAAAATCCTCGACGTGCCGTTGAGGAATCCTCGACAATTATTCACCCTGGCTGGTCCCATTCACTGACCACAATGAAAGTTCGGGATAAGAAGAGTTTTAAAAACTCTGCGATGTGCAATCAACAGTTTTTTTTTCTGACATGACCTCTCCTTGTTGTATGTTGCGAATTCATAGCACCTACCTTCAGATTTCCAAAAGTTAGGCAATTTGAAGTATCTCCAGTTAGTCTAACAAAAGCCTGCTCAACACGCTTATCAGCACTCCTGCCAGATAAGGATGAAGATACTGTCGATGCTTTGGCTGCTTTCGCTTTAGCTTCAGCGTTACCCATCTTCTTCGTCTCCAATAAGGCAATAATATAGAATAGAATTGGGAATGTGCTGGAAAAGTTAAGCCATCTAGAGTTCCCGCCCACACACATAAAGCTTACGCGTGACAACAACGACAGTACAATGAAACCAGTTTGACCGCACAATGGAGCAGGTGATAACATTTTTGGTGTATCAATTGAAGATCATGCGCAGAATTTCTTGCAGCGGCTGCGCTGCGGCGTGCTACTGGAGCGAGACGACCACTTCCAAGGGGGATGCGCTCAGTTCGCTTCTAGGTTGCATCCATCGTCAGCTTCGTAAACTGTTTACGATGGTCCGAATGAATATGAATAAGCTATTATTACAAGATTCATAGGAAGGGCTTAGGAAGCTTGGCATGCTCTTTTTAGGGATCAAAGACTCGAAGAGGTCAGGAATGTTTCCTAAAACTTGCAAAGGAGGCGAACTATCGGTAGACAATCTCAGCCACTTCCATTTCACTTCGCTGAGTCAACATTTCGGATAAGCTCATGACCAAAATACAGGAACTCACAGTTTTTCGCTCAATTTCGCATTTTCCGTCAGAATCTGTCCAGTCTTCTGTTGCTATGTACTGCTGGCCGCTCAAATCGTTCTACAACATGGGCATTTGAATGAAGCCTCATGAGCTACATAAGCGAATTAGCGCGAAGAGTACGGAGCGAACGGCATTCGGTCCGCGGTGCGCGTCACCGCGCGCGACAGCGCGACGTCGCGTTCCATTCCGAGCAACGGAGCGTTCGCTGCTGTGTTATTGGTTCACCTTTCAGAAAACAAGCTTGTCGTTTTTCATTTGTCGTGCTGCTTGTTGCATTATCCTTCCTCAGGAGGTTCCTCCTTGGCCTTTTACATTGTCTTGTGTTTATAACGAAGTGAATGTCTTTGAATGAACACCATGGTTCAATTTTATTACTGAGCGAATACGCTTCGCCTAATCTTCAGTGCCGATTTCCCTATCCGTTACCAGACGCGCATGATAGACTTGGCTTACTGTTGTTGGGGTAATGTTCTACCCGGAGGGGGGGGGCAGTCTGTCGGAAAGCTACCAGGACTAAGCCTAACGCAGAGGGACGAATTCCGGAGCGAATGAAAATTGCTTACGCAGCTCGGATTCCCTCTTCTCCTCTAAAGCTTAGTCCCAAAACTGAAAGTTCCGTGAACCTAACGCTATGTTACGGGCTCCCCCCCCCCCCCCTGGAGCCACATTGCGCCTTGTTGTTACCCGTCGATCACTTCCTGCGACGTTTTTCCATATTCTTCAAAAAACTGAAAACCCTGAAATTCCAGTCGTTTTCACCATTCAGTACACATCTAACTTGACGCGTATATTTAAAGTAGCGATGACTGTATACAAAAGTGGGAATAAATTAGCCCAAGTAGTGCACTAGCAATTGTTCAGTTACCAGGCGAGTCTTTCAGATCGTGCCCCGCTTCACAGGAACGGCCTCTTGCATGGAACACTGACCTATGGTCCATTTTTCTTGAGCAGATCCTGGTTGCCAGAAGTAGATTGAAGGAGCCCAATCGCTTCCTTCTTCACCATTTTTCGGCAGAAACCACCTCCAATTAGTACGAATGTGTAACCAATTCATGGTAACTGGCCAAGTCACCGCAGGAGGGAATTCCCGCATGAGAAAGCACTACTTGTGATTACGTCTATCACAGAATTCCTCTTCATTTTCGATACTGGTAACCGTATTACGAACGATATAACAAGGCAACCAATCGCGGGTGCCATTCTGCGACTACTGCAAGCGCCCTTAAAATGCACAACTTCCCGTAACGGGTAGTCGAACAAAGGACCATCTCCTTTCCCCTTTTCGGCGTGCAGAGACTGTCGCCTAAACCTACACCCTGAAAAAATGCCGGACGAGTTTTCCTGGCATGCTGCCCACTTTTGAACCTACTTCGTTGCGGGACCATGCTCCTCTCTTTACCATCAATTGATTCTGGCACTTCCTTAGACATTGTTAGAAGGTTTTCAGTGGGTAGGCTTTCAGTGCGGTTAGGAGTGAGTCAACCAAAGAGAAAAGCGCAAGATACTTGGGCGCAACGTGGCTACGGAGTGGGGAGGGGGGGACATCCTGTAACATTGCGACAGGTTCACGGAAATTTTCAGTTTTGGGACTAAGCTTTGGAGGAGAAGAGGGAAATCGAGCTGCGTAAGCAATTTTCATTCGCTCCGGAATTCATCCTTTGCGTTAGGCTCAGACCTAGTGGGATTCCGACGGGCTGCCCCCCCCCCCCGGAAGCACATTGCGCCGACAATTGCTTATACATATATGTCACATGTATTCTTTGCATCGAATGTACATAACTTTAGTTTGATCATTCTCTCCAGGCATTTATAATAGGATAGCAGGCGCTTAGCGTCGAGATACGCTTCATAAGCGATTCATACCGAATCGAGCATTTAGCACTTAGATACATGTTTGGCCTTGTTCAAAGAGTTCAGCCCATGCATAGGTCAGATTTTGACTCCGTCATTTCGGTTACGGTTCGTGGCGCGATGTGCCTTTGGGGGGAGGGGGAGGGGTAGTCTGTCGGAAGGCTACAAGGACTAGGCCTAACGCAGAGGGACGAATTTCGGAGCGATTGAAAATTGCTTACGCAGCGAAGTTGCTTACGCAGCAAAAATTCCCTCTTCTCCTACAAAGCTTAGCCCCAAAACTGAGCAAATCCGTGAATTTGACGCCAAGTTTTCGGCTGCCCCCCCGGAGCCACATTGCGCCCGGTTCATTTATGACTCGACCATTTGGACAAGATGATTATCAAATGCTCCGTAATCACATTCTCGGCAAAGTGATTTCCTATGTGGAACAAAAGCAACCCTTGTAGAAAAAGTGTCCTTACTTCCGTGAATCGTCGTCGACGCTGATCAGTGGAGTCATTCGTTGTTGATGCCGCGATTAAGCCTACTACATTCCCTTTTGGTTCATTTAGAAGTGAGCTCCGAGCTGTTCGCAATCGTTACTTCATCATACAATATGTGCGTCACATGAAAAAAGGACTTCATTCAACAGTCACAAATGGCTTGGTGGGACCCAATAGTTGACATTAACCTGACTACTCACACGACTTTGCCTCACTTTGAGACTGAACGGTTAGAAACAATCCTTCCATATCTCCAGCCTAAAACTGCAGCCCGAAGAAGCGCAAAACCAAATGATGTTCAAGGGTGGATGCAGCATGGTCCCACAACGAACTAATTCAAACAGTGGGCAGCTTGCCAAGATCTCGTCCGGCATTTTTTCAGGGTGTAGGTTTAGGCGACATTAGTGCAGAGGACCAGGAAAAGTAACGCATGGTCCTTGTTTCACGCACGTGTATTTATATGATGCAAAAAACAGTTTAGAAAAGCTGTGCATGACCTGAGAGGCCTTCCTTCCTTCCCAGAGTTGTTCTGGATTCTGCACTGATGCAGTGACGGAGCCCACCTTCACGCAAAAAATGAAAACGTCGAAGTCACGACAAACTTTACATTTTATTATAAAGTTTTAGAAGTCATACTCACACAGTTTTCTTCTCAGATGTCGGTCAGACTGCGATTGCATCGCGCGATGCAGTCGCTCTGCCTAGAGCGATTGGCATCGCTCCAAAGTGCGAGCGACGGGAGATTTACCCGAGCGGCGCCGTGTGTATCGGTCGTCGGCGGGGTAAATCTCCCGTCGCTCGCACTTTGGAGCGATGCCAATCGCTCTAGGCAGAGCGATTGGCATCGCGCGATGCAATCGCCCATAGACCGACCCAGGAAGGATGGACGAACAAGTCAATCTGGGACAGCGCACGGATTTGTTCTCGCGAATGGCAAGCAGAGTCACTTTCCATTGCACCACCTTCAGTGCGGAGATCAGCGGATGTAAAAGTCATTACAGACAGACAGACAGGAGCTACCAATTTACAACCGGGAGGCTCAAAGGGCTTGTCTGGCATTGACAATCGCTATCGCTTTTGACCCACGGATCATGCAGCAGTAGAAGCGCCGCCGCTGCCACACTTGGGTCCCCAAGGACAGGTAGGCCGATCACAGTGTGCGAATTCAGGGATTCGCCAGTTGACGACAGCGCGTTTTGCGTGCTCCTCGGCATCTTTGCTTGATAGGCTGGTGTCAGAGTCCGCGATCTGTCGCAGGTTTCGCTGATTTGCGCGATCTGCGCGATTCACGCCCGTCGCGTGGAATCGCAAAAATCAGCGAAACCTGCGACGGATCGCGGACTCTGACACCAGCCATATAGAGCACCATGCCCATTCGCGCGAAAATTGACGCGCATGCGCGCAATGCTGCTGCGCCAATTTGTTGACGCCTTCAGCGCTGTGCCAATTTTTGAGGATTGTGACAGCTGATTTGCCATACTTGCAAGCCTTTTAGCCGCTTGCCATTATAAAGAGCTTTTCGTTCAATTGGCGAGGAGGGATCATCAGGGAGAATGGAAATACTCCCACATTGTATCAAATCTGATCCCGTTACCAAGCTGCATTTCAACTGATCATCTTAGTGTTTTCTGCTAAAACTTTTTCAACGAAATCCAACTAACAGTCTGCTAAAATTTGTCGTCCTGTCGGCGTTATCCTTTGCAGAATTCTATTTGATGTTAGCCATGCAAGGTCGCAATTTTAGCACCTATAACTAGACTTTTTCCAGGTAACATTATCACGGTCGACAGAATGAAACGGAAGCCTTTCTAAGATTGGATTTTTCTGCAATCGATGCTGTTCACGGCAGCACTAAGTTACTTCTTGATCTCATGGAGCTCGATATTCCTTCTCGACTATGTGTTGCGAATTAGAAATTTCACACCCTATGTGAATTTCGCTAATAAGTATGGTCTGGAGGTGGCGCCTTTTCAGGTAATTCTGAAGTCCTTTCTTTGGCAAAAGCATTGTTCAATTTTTTTGCGTTGGCAACTAGGCCACAGCCACAGGTTACCCCAGTGATCGCGCCATAACTTAGTTGGTTCGCATTTCCCGGACCATTATGCGACCACGCGACGTCATTGCTGGGTTCGCGACTATGGCGGAAGTCGGTCATAGCTCGTGAAACCTGAGCAATGTGAAATGTTCATATCCACCTAATCACTCTTTTTGTTCTCTCTTAATTTTTACCTCCTTCGGAATTGGTGTTCCACGTTAGTACCATTTAATAAGTTGGGAACAAACTTTTCCAAGGCTGGCTTGTAGTTTAGCTTTTCTAGTAAAGGCAATCTGTCATGTACCTAAGAATGCTGCAAACATCAATATGACCACTCTGGGATTCTTGTCATTTTTATACCCCCGAAACGGTTTTTATTAGGAATGGAGGAATACGGCGATGGCTCTGTAAAATAAATGAGATATGCCAAAGTTAATGCGAAAATTTCGTTTCAATTCTCAGACAGTTCGTTTCAGCTGCGAATATACACTACTCGCTACAATGAAGGAGCTTATCTACCTGCTTCAAAGGACGTGCCTGTGAGTCGGAAGCTAAAGTCATTATGGTTCTCATTTGGAGCTGTGGCGGCACTAGTTTGTTTGGTTGGAATCACCATATACCTCTCACATATTGTCTATAGAGGTAGGTTGTTTTTTGTGCTTCGGCTCCCCTACTTTCTGCACGATTTGGGGCGCGGCCGCGGCGAGCGCGGCCGAGTCGATAGTGCCCGCGAACTGTGTGTCGTAGACCGACGTCATAGTCGGCGACGGACAAGCGATGGAGCGATCGCGATCGCTCCATCGCTTGTCCGTCGCTTGCCAATCGCTCTCGGTCGAGCGATTGGCAAGCGATTGCGCAATCGCTTGCAAAGTGCACAAGCGACGGGCAATGGCTCTGCTCGATCGATACCGCAGCCGACTGCATTGACTGGGGGCGGGGCCAATCGCCCCGTCGCTTGTGCACATTGCGCATTGCGCAATCGCTTGCCAATCGCTCGACCGAGAGCGATTGGACAAGCGATGGAGCGATCGCGATCGCTCCATCGCTTGGTCCGTCGCCGACTATGACGTCGGTCTAAATTTGTAAACGCATCACCATACAGTTCGCGGGCACTATCGACTCGTCCGCGCCGCGGCCGCGCCCCAAATCGTGCCAGAAAGATGGGAGCCTTGTGCTTCAACTTCTCCTTAAACCATTTCTTCACTATCATATCTTACCTGAAAATTCTAGATACTTCGTATTTGCTATCACTTCGGCCCAAAGTGGCGCCATATAGATCCATTCCACATACTGTTCTGGAACAAACCTCACCAGAGGTATCTTTATTTTTATATTGTTGCTGGTTCGGCGAATTTCTCTCTTGACGATAGCTTTACGAATTCGCGCTACTGAATTTTTTTTTGTAGAAACCGACATAGTTTCCAACGCTCAGTTACTAGACATTAGATTTATTATTGGGAAGGGTGCATCATTAAATAATTATGTACTGATTTACTGACATTTATATCATGCATTTATTTTATTCTGAATGAAGTACTGAGTGAGGTACCTCATGGAGGCATGAATACGGATTGAAATCGCCTCTCATTTTCAAGGCTAAAATGTTAGACGATCTTCCTATGTCACCCACAGAGGAATACGATGTACTGGATGCGTCTGGTGGATCAGAAACTGGTCAGAATTGTTCTCACACTCGTTTTTCGCATGGTTCCTTCATCTCGAATTCCGCTACAATGTTTGATCACAGGTCTCGTTCCAATTATTCCTGGAGTGAATCTGCCCTGGAGCCACATTCCGATTTTTGTGGTAGTGCTTGCAGTAGCCGCAATAATACATGAGGTTTTTTTGATTTTTTTTTTCATTTTTGCGCACAAGACGCACCAAGGTGCGTCATTACATCGTCTTCTGTAGTACTGCTAAAGTATTGACGTAGTCTGCTTCATTTTTTTGCCTAATAAAATGTACGGTATCTTTCATAGATGGGATGGCTAGTACCTCGTTCAGCGCTTGTCGCATGTTGTTTTCAGTCTTGCAAGTGTACGCAACCCTCCACTTCAGCTACAGTTGGTTGCCAGGACATCTCTTCTTTACATGCTCCTTATGCTTTTCATTCCCTAAATTTATGTTTTCTGAGTACTACTAAATGCTGGCCAGTTGAAAAAGCCTTGGCGCAGTATGAAAAGGCAGCATGAGTTTTATTTCCTAGTTCAGGCAATTGTTCTGAGCTCGCTATCGGAGAAGGCGAGATTCCCTTTTTTTTTGATAGAATAGTCTGAAGGCAATCGCATCTAGTTTGATTGACATTAAGTTAGTGTGCTATTTAGTTCTTTGTTGAAAACATTTTTCAATCGAAGTTGCTTCATGAGAGGCGGAGAATGAGGACTAGCTATTCAGCATGCTAACTTGTTTACGTTACCAATCTTCCAGATTGGTCATTCTGCTGCGGCGACGACGTATAATGTTCGTGTTAATGGTTTTGGAGTCTTTCTGCTTGGACTGTACCCTGGAGCTTTTACCGATATAGATACGGAGTCCCTGAGTAAGTCCATTCCCAGATAAGTTGTTTAATCTTTGGAATCATGAGCGCTCTTCGATATTTGTTTTAATTTAGTGTCCTCAGTTTTGTGTCCGCTTGCAAAACCTTTTATGTATCGTAGATGCCAACATGATTCTGAATCATTCAGTGTTGTATTTAAATGCTTATTTGTCTCATGAATGACCAATCAGATCAGCGGGAGGCATTAACCGGAGAGGTCTTTCAGGGCGTGCCAAGCTTTTTCAAAACGGTCTTTTGCATGATATAGGGGCACATGCGGGGACCACAGAACCATGGTTAATTTTTCCTGAACGGCCCTCTGAATACCAGAAAAGGGGTCCCTGGTTCGATTCCTCGTGGTGACAAGTTTTTGCATTTCGGTTATTGACGGTCCTAATCATGAATATGACACTATTATTCATGCTAACTCCATTTTGCGCGAATTTTGGAACGTCAACTCGAAATGCAAAAATTTGTCACGAGGAATCGAACTAGGGACCCTTTTCTGGTATTCAGAGGGCCGTTCAGGAAAAATTAAACATGGTTCTGTGGTTCCCGCATCTGCCCCTATATCATGCAAAAGACCGTTTTCAAAAAGCTTGGCACGCCCTGAAAGACCTTCCTGGTAAGGTCCATATCTGCATGTTATATTGAGTGTCATATGTTTTTTATAGAACGTAGTCATCCTCGGCACCGTCTAGAAGTTTTCGGTGGTGGCATATGGCACAACATAGTATTGGCCGGTATCGCCTATGTGATGTTTTTATGGACGCCATACTTCCTTTCACCATTTTTCGGGCAAGGCCAAGGAGTTACTGTGACAGGTGAGTACTGATTAACTGAAACATTTTCGCCATGGTTTGCAGTTATTAAAAATTTTGTATATCACACTCCTTTCGGATACCTTCACTAAGAAAGTGCCTGAGTGCGAAGTAGGTGTTGGGATTATGGGATTTGTTAGCGGCTGTGAGCCTCTTGTGCGAAGGTTAGCCGATGTTTCTGTATAACGGAAACAAGATTTAGTTGACTTCCAAATCCTTCAGAAGATCAGACTACAAACGACATTACTGTTTTGTTCCTGAAATAATTGTACTTTCTTGTTTTCAAGTGTTGTTTCTAATATTTTAATGGTAAAACTGTTGCTATCGCTGGTTTCTTATAACGTAGAAAAAGAATCACTATCTTGAAAGGAAACCTTACAATTATGACACTGCATACTATTGAGCACATGCCTGTCTCGCATTTACTTTGCCGAGCTCCGGACTGGATCCAGGTAGATCCACGCAAGGTTTGGGCAGAAACTGATAGTCCTCCAGATCAACTGATCCAGTACTTCGGATAGGAGCTCTTGTAGCAAAATTTGGATTGCTCGCTTTCCTGCCACCTTATCTGTAAATAATGTGGATGTGGTATGGGAAGCAGTGTTGTTTTTACTGGATTTTAGGTGTCGATTCTCGTTCTGGTCTTTATGGTGCCGGCGGCTTAGCAATTGGAAATGTTGTTGATTCGATCGATGACTGTGCCATACGAAAACATGAAGATTGGAGAGAATGCGTACGGCATCTGGAAAAGAATAGGCACGGTCAATGCGTTCCGCGTACTGCCGTTGAGGCGTCTTTGGCAACAAAGGTCTTCTTATGTTCACTAGTTATCCTTTATTCTAAGTTTTTTTTTTGCTTTTTTAGCTCTATTACCATCCAACAATTGCAGACCTCTATGTCACTTGATGAGATGCACTGTTGCGATGACTTCACAAATATTACTCACGCTCATATGTGTTTCGAGTCTATGCTGGATATAACAACGAAACACCTTGTCACAAAGGCGCAGTCGCTGAATCGAGTGCTGCGTGTTGGGATTATAGAGGTAATCTGTTTTTTGTTGAGAGAAAAACTTAGAGTTAGTATTTTGCAGTTATCAACAAACTCTACCTTTTCTAAGCGGTGAACTGTTTCAGCCTGCTCAAGAAATTGTGCGTAAAAAACGCAAAAGATCGCGACAGTTCAGCTGTCTCTCCGCTCAATATGTCACATCTCAACCAACGTGCAGCAATACTTCCAGTTGCGCAGTGGTGCGTTTTTATTCCTTCGTTCGGTTCTGTAGGGTAATAGCATGCGAAAATCTCACCGTCATAAATTCTAAGAATAACAGACCCAAATTGTGGATGTTGACCATTTTGGTTGTCATCTCCTGCGACACGTGTAGGGAATGCCATAAACAGCTAGTATGCTGATTGGTGTTCACATCAAGTGTGAACAGTCCTTCATAAAAATGTGCTCTTTACCACGTTTCTAGTGCCGAGGCCCCTTCCTCAAATTTAAGCTATGTCATTTTTACACAGTTTTGTTTGTGGACAAGAGTTGGATTTACTTTTCTCAGATCGCAGAATTCTTTTTCAATTTCGGGTTAGCATTATTACACATTAGGTATATCGGTGTAGTTTCCGGGCAAAGGTCGGAAGAGAAGTAGTCATGTGAAGAAGTCACTTGGAAGTGATGTGCAGAAGTGTCGCTTGAGCGCTGTGGTCATTACGTGAGCTACCCTGTGCAAAGAAATTAGCAAAGGTATATTCCCAACCGGAGCATTGAAATTTTGTCTGGCAGGATTTCCGCAAAGTTACTAAGCTGGTGAAGCAGTAGAATCTCATGCCCTATGCCTTTAAGAAATGTGCGGGAAAGGCCCTAGAGGAAGTGTTGGAAAATGAGGAAAACTATCAAAGTGAAGAGGGAACAAGACGGAGTGGCGTAGTTTTAGTAATGGCGGAACCCTTAAGAGAGTACTTCTCTGTAATAAGGTAGGAAATTGGACGACACCATTCGTGTATGTGCTTCAAGCCTAATGGTTGCACTGAGGAAAAGGGTCGGAAGTATAATCTTCAACAATGCCATCAGCTCGAGTTCGAAAGAGGAAGATCAAAGTAATGTTGGGCGTAGAACTGGATTCATCAACTCACTCAACTGCATTATCAAGATGGATTATTCCAATGAAACAAAGATAAGAAGCGAAAGGAGTGTTCGTAGGTGTAGAATGGACCGGGAGTCGTGTGCAGTGAAGTCAGCAGAGGATGCCTTGGACAGAGGTAAAGTTGCGACGGCTGATAAAGGCTGCCTACGCGCGACTGCACTGGACCAAACCTAGGTAGAAGAAGAATAACCAAGACTGGGAAGAGAGTCCAGCAAGGACGACTCCAAACGCGACGTCGGCAAATTGCCCTTCCTGATTCTCACGTACTGTCAGGAAACCTGAACCTACGTAATTGAAGTCATTCTACTGAATACATGCAAAGGAAACACTGGGTGAGGGGCAGGTGAGATCAGGCAGTCAAGGTGGGTTCAGCGGCAAGTTTTAAAGCGGAAGAAATGCGCAACTTCGGCGCTATTGCATGCAACAGTTCAATCTAGAAAGACTAGGTTTTTCTCAAGTTCCACGAAGTTGGAGTTACTTGGGATGGTAAGAAAGTCCTGAGCCGATTTTTCGAAAGCTCCAGAACTTTCGCTTATTGATCGATACCTAGAATCTGCTACGTGATAGACTATCGCTGTCGATCATACTTCTCCGCAGTAGGTATATATCCGGGTTGCCTTCTTTAACTTTAATCATGATGTCGATTCCACAAGAGCACTTTCGAGCGATCATCTTCAATGAATGGCGCTGCGGCACAGGAGCAGTGGAAACCGTCAACATTATCAGCATCGCATTGGGAAGGGACACCACTTCCATCATCAGTGCCAAGCTCTGGTTCGCAGGCTTCGAAGGAGGAGACACGGCTTCCGAAGACAAGACAAGGTTGGGAAGCCCCCAAACAGTGGAAGACTCCACCGTTCTCGGCGCTGTCGAAGAGGATCCGGAGGTTAGCACCCGCAGCCTTGTGATAAGACTCGGGTGCACCCATCCCACAGTCCTCGGTCCCCTCCACGCCCTCGCCACAGGAAAGTGCCGACTCGATGGATCCCTCATGTCTTGACCGATAGCACGCGGTTCAGGCGGGTACCCATTTGTCAGTTTCTCCTTCTTTGTCCGCACCGAAAGGAGTTTTGGAAGGCATGATTACGAGAGATGAGAGTTGGGTCCTCTACGATTCTAACAAGCACAGTGCCGTGTGGCTCCCTCGAGGAGAAGACCCGCCGACACAAGCAAAATCGGACCTTCACCCCAAAAGCTGTCTTCTTTGCTACCTCTGGGATTCGTGAGGAATGCTGTATTATGAGATGCTCCCGCAAAGACATACCGCTACCGGCAGCATTTACGCCAGTCAGCTCCAGAAACTAGCGGACGCTGTTCAGAAAAACGACCGAGACGAACTTCTGTCCACCTACTCCACGATGACGCCAGGCCCCACATAGCTAAAGAGACCCGTGCAAAATTGGAAGAGCTGATCTGGGACGCGGTTCCCCACCCACCCTATTCCCCTGACATTGCCCTCTCTGATTATCACTTATTTCATCCCCTTAAGGCATTCCTAGCGAAGAAAAAATTCACCAAAGTTGAAGACGTTGAAAGAGCGGTCAGCGATTTCTTTGACTCTCAGTCTGCTCAGTTCTGGGAGAAGGGGGTCGCTGACCTGCCCATTAGGTGGGACTCTGTAGTGAGTAACAATGGTGATTATATTGTTGAGTAGATTCCATTGTACGCGGAATAAAAAAGTAAAGCACAAAAAAGTGTCAAACGGCTCAGGACTTTTTTTACCATCCTAATATTTTCTGCTAACCCCTATTCCTCCCCTGAAGAGGCCATAGTTGCTTAGTTCAGTAGTGACACCTTCATGCTCTTCCGGCCTCTCGTGGTTCAGTTAGCACCTTTGAACCGACATTCATGTATATTCATTCATGTATGTATCGCATAAAAACATTAATCTATTAGAAATTAACAATTTGCTGACATTTAAATTTGCTTTGCTGACATTTAAATTTTCATTGCAGGGTGAGGACGGTGAGGAACGTGTTTGCGTATTTGCAGCCCTTTTTAATGGAACGCAATTAGCTCGAATAAGTGTAAGAAATCATGTGAGGCCCGTACTATATGTGGGCAACTTGGACGAGGTACGTATATTTGCGATATGCTTTATAAGGGAACTTAAAGTACTTGTAAGGAACACACTTCTTCATACACCGATACTATTAAGCGATAGGCATGTCTTCGGTAGTATAAATTATATTTATCTGTTTATAGTATTCGAGATCGGTTAGCTATTATAATTGATAGTCAAGCGATCTCGATTACTCATGCTTTACTCTTGCTATTTCCAAAGCTATCTACGCCCCATGGCGTGTCCATTCCGCTTTTCGAATGTATCCTCTCCTCCACCCTATCGATCCTGTAACGGCTGTCAACAATTAGAGCAAATCCAAAAATTGCATTCAGTGACTATCATCTCTTTTTGTTTTATTAGTGCTTCGAATCTAGGTTCGCAGTGCACGTGTTTCAACGTCATGTACACCTTTCAGCTAATCACTTATGTAAGGATCGACGGACTAGTGGCTCGTTTCTCATGGGTGCCACACCATTGGGCTGAGTCTGTGGAGCTGGTACCAAAGTATCTCTTCACTCTATCACTAGCACTAGGCCTTCTAAATAGCGTGCCTTGCTATGCTCTTGACGGGCAGTATATTGTGGTCACATGTGTCAACTGGTCGTGTAAGATGTTCTCGAGACGGTGCGTTTCAATTCCAATTATCGTTATTCATTGCATTTCGACTATCGATGGATTCAGCAAGATTCGCATATAATAATAATCGAAAGAGCCACTGATTTTTTGATGCTGTAAATCTCTTCGCGGGATTCGCGGTGATACAGCGTTAGTACACTTTGCTCTAGGGATCAAGTCACGAATCTAGCCAGTTATTCTAACTCCATCCCGGTTACATAGTTCTGTTAGTTGCCAGCATTGTTCGGGGGGGCAGCCTTGACTTTTGTATCAGTCACTATCGGAATTGATTGCGTCAAGCATATTGCATTCGAACGGCACTAGGATTCTGATTTGAAGTGGAGTGCTGGTGCATTCTAAAAGGAACGATCACCGCCATAAGCCTGATCCTTTTATCTTTGTAAGGTGGGGCGAATTAGTGGTTTTCATTATGCTGGTTTTATTGATAATTATCTTTTTTGAATCAGTTCTATCTAAGAGGATTATTTACAAGCATTAACAAACAATCCAAAAAATATCAGCTGTGCTCAAAATATCGCCTTTAAGTAACAACCCCTGAGGAGGTCCTATCGAACAATCTCTACTGTGTGTAGTGAAAGTAACTCTCGCGTATCACAGTTGTGCCGTGGTTGCGGCTCGATAACGCAATAAAGGCGCTAGGGCCGGATAGCAAGCTAACGATGGCTAATATGAGCTAAATTTCGAGACCTCACGCACAAGCAAGTCAGGACGTAGATTACGACGTAGAGTCTAATTCAAATCGCGCTGGTTAGTGGGGCCATGGAGCAATTGAGGGTCTTATTGGCGGATTGCTTTCCTTTTTTGATTTTCAGTCAACTGCATTTGCAACTTCATTAACGACCGCTGTTACCAACCAATTTAATCTGGGATTGTTCCTTCAAGCCTTCACAAAGTCCTCCAACAGTAAAAGAGAATTCCCCATGTGGCGCGCAGGTAATGGACATGAATTCCGTCCTAAGATTTCCATAATATTGTTGCGGCACCGTCCACATTTGGGTATCTGATAGAGCAGGTAGAAACTTGCTAATGCTACTGACAAGACTATACAAAAAGGGAACTTCAAGTTGTCCATAATGGTTCGCGTTGGAATCATTCCAACAGGGAAACCCCAGCTGTTTCCATTGAAGCCAACATTATAATGAACAAAGAAGAAATATCTCGGGGAGCGTTCACTTACCATGAGCACATTCAATTCATTGCGATATGCTGGTACTTTCAGCAGAACATTTGTATCGCTTCATTGCAAAGCGTTAGTGGTTCGGAAGTCAACTTTTCCAATTCTTAAAGGCAAAAGTCGGGCTCAATAAGGGGGTATTATGGCGATTGAAACTGAGTATAGAGATGCGAAGTGGAACGACAGTGGAGAAAAAACTGAGAAAAACCGTCGACAAGGCCGTTAACAAAACCCTCTTTCCCACTAGCAGTGAAGGAGGCTGGCTTGGGGAAAGAGGCACGTACAAACAAGTTTTCTGGAGATGTCAGTCGTTCTATCGGTTGATACGGCAATCAACCTAGCTGATTTCACACGTTATGCCAGCCACGCACCACTTCCGGAGGTGGGCGGTCCTGGATTGACCAGGCGGCCCGGATTGAAACCGACGGCCCCGGGGCTTAACGACGTTTTTCAAGGTGGGAAGTTGCTGCAATGTGTGCAGCTACCCACATACAACCTCCAGGCACGGGAATTACTTCTCTAGCGTGCTGAGCCCGACCTTTGCCTTTAAGGACCTCAACACGATTTTTTTGTGTTGACCAAGTCGCGAAAAAAAGATTGCTCTATCAGATATCGCAATTTGGACAAAATTGATGATCGATATCTGCGTACTACGTGGTTGGTCAAACGTCATAGGAACTGTATGAAAGATGAAGGCGATTTTTTTGCAAGCTATTGGTACTTTCTGGATTGCAATGTTATGTAACAAATCATACTTACAGTTAGAAACGATTTATGAATGTTCTTTCCGAAGGAAAATTAAGCAAAATTAATTTCCCTGCACCGTGCATATCTCTCTGAAATGGTGATTTTTCAGATTTTCTCACGTTTCGTTGTTGAAAAAACAAAATTCCCTTTCCACAATTTCAAAAAACACTTATTCCTTCTTGGTTCTCTTGTTATATATTCTTTTAAAATAAGCAAGTATATTATTTTGAAATAAATAAAACTAAACAAAATAAAGTAGAATAGAATAAAAAATATTAAACTTTTATTAACAAAATTCTTTGCAACAGAAGAGTCGAAATTTGAGGTCTTACATTAGTTCACAACAATGTGAACAGGTTTCAGAGGTGTAATGCTTAGTTGTGTGCAATTTCGTGGGAAATTTGAAGTCTTCTTAGCAAAGGAAAGAAAGGAGAATATTAAGATGCTGAGAAGTTCTTGAGAATCTCAGTTTTTTGCTTGAAAATCTAGGAGTGCCTCAGCTTAGTAATAAATTGACTAGTCGTCGTGACAGTAAGAACCATCACTACCAACACAGTTTTCCACCGCGAAAGTAGTAGGAGACTATAGGCGAGGTAAGGTGATTAGTGTTGGTAGTGCGATGTGCGGCTGCGCAGTTTCGTAGGGGTGAGTTAGCTCATTTCTTTTGCACAATGCTGTGCGCTTGTATTGCTATCCGCCTGCACTTCTTCAACTTGATGAGTACTTTTTCATTGTAGGAATTCCAGAGGGGTTAGGGGAGCTACAATGGGTGAGATCAACTGTTAACCAGCAAGCTGCCATCACATCCTGTTCAATGCTTTGAGCTTCATGTAATTCTCACAATGTCAATCGTGATCCAATCGTTGAAATGAACTTTGTCGGTTGCTGCAACGAATCCACTTTACACATTACAGTCCAGACGAGAGATAATTCATTCTCAATGCCTAGAAAAAAAGGTAGACGACACTCTGAAAGGCGTCCATTTATCGATTTGACTTTCCATTCATTAAATACTGTGGATAACCACCATACAAAATGTTTACTCCGGAACCAAGCTACCAGATTTTGTAAGTGGATATTTCTTTCAACTAAAACGTTCGACTGATTATTGAACAACACCTAATACCCCTTTCGGCTTATAATTCTGAGAAAAAATCAGGCTGTAGTTACCATCAGTATTCATTTTCTTCGTCACGTTCATTGGCGGTTCCGTAAATGAAAATCTTCGTAACATCGTTAATATTGCAAACTGCGTCCGCTTCTTTCTGGCTCGCTTGACTGAAACGAGAAAATCGCGCGAATGTGAGCACTTTCCTTTCAACGTTTCGGAAAGTCGAAGTTTTTAGTTCAGGCAAAATTGATCACAATCTGATATAGAACGAAAAGCAAAATGCTTCATGAAGCCATACGAAATTATGACAATTCATCGAGTATCTGTAAAATCAGCATTCAAATACGACATCAAAAATCGCCTCAAGTTCTGGCACACGTGGTGGAGTCTCACTACTCGTTAACTCTCGAGTGTACTTAGGGGGCGCAGCAGTCGAGTATTCATGAGATCGTGGGAAGAATCGGCGTGACTCTATATCAAGCGAATTACACCTAATGTGCTAGATAGACTGCACCTTAAGACAAGATTGCAATCATGAGAAGGATCCACTCCCATTGTGAGGGTTATATACCCTCACTCTGGAAGCGGAGGTACGAACCAGCCTCTTTAGCAATAGAGTTCCATCCAACAGCCACAAACTCCCTCTCCCCTTAAGACTTGCCATATGGTAGGGGCTAGTAGGAATGACAACTCCACCCGATTCTGAAGATTTTTCGTTTTATAACGTTCCACGATATTTACTCAGGATACTTAGGCGACCCGTTGATCAGCACGGCGGTTGGCCTTGCGCGGGTCCCAACTTCTTTTCCATTGCTCGCGGTCTTGGGCTTTCGTTGTCCAGTGTACGGCCACCTTAAGGGACACAGGATCATACACGTTGTTTCTGTATGCCAAAGAGTCTGCCCAACGTAAAGGAGGTCGGCAAGAGGCTTTCTCCTGCTCCACGCTCCTTAATGTGTTTTACAATTCAGACGTCGTCAGCAGCTGATTACTATAATCTTATCGCTCGGAACACTGTTGCTGGCTGCCAACGTTGTCATCGGTTTCGTAAAAATGGTGGTTTAAAATATATTTCTATGGATGTGCTGTACTTAGTCGGTCTACAAAAACTTTTCTCAGATGTGATTGTGATAGCGTACTTTTGGCTTCTTTACGAGTGATCGTTTTAATAATTTAGAATGTGTTGCTACTTTAACAAAAGTTTATGTGATAGTTCAATTGTTTTGATAGTGCCTACAAGTGAAAATATCATCGCAATCGTGAGGTGAGGTACTCTTGAAGTCCTCAGGTAATGTGGTGTTGTCCAGAAATGATCGCCTGATAGGTATTGTTGAATTGGTTCGTATTGTTCGGTTTTGTCAACGCTGTATTTCGCCACAGTTGGCGTTCCTAATGTCAGAAATCGGTTATTTTTTGAAAAGAAAATTTTCTTTCATATTTTCAAAATATTGCTGCCATCAGTTTTTCACTCCGAGGCCAATGTAGCATTTCTGGACCACCTAATTCTCACATTTTCAATCATATTGGATTGGCGCTTTCTCTTTGACTTCTGTTTCTAATTGATTTTATCATTTTATGGTCTTATTACAGAATTCCATTCTCAAGTATATTTGTCACCCCATCTATTCAATTCTGTAATAGTTACCTGATTCAAGGCTTGCAATTCCACAGAATCCATAACGATGGAGTTAGTAGATATTTTTGATCTATGTTTGGCTGATAATTGAAGTTTTGAACTTGTAATATTTCTGTTATGATGTACATGTTCGACAATTTTAGGTTCATTCTGTGATTCGGGTTCTGGATTTCCACATATGACTAACCACCATCTTGTGCTTTTGCTAAATCTGTCCACATTTGATGGCTGTATAAAGACGTAGATTTTCTCACCTGTTCATTGGGTGTTGTTGGCATGGTTCCGTATTCATCATGGTTTCTAAACTTAGAGACTAAACGCAATGTTCTAGAGCGGTGATACTGTGCATATTTGTGGTGTTACGTCCAATTATGCCATCAAGTAGGTGACCATTAATCGAAAAAAAGGGAAAACTATGAAATTCAGAAACTCTTGAGGTAAAAAGAAAATGTTTTTGACGACATGACGATCTGCGCACATCTAGTTGCTGTTTTTTAGATGTGAGAGAGTATTATCTGCTCAGGGATTGAATCGCGCAGAATGTGCTAATTTCTTGTCAGCTACCAAGACTGCAGCAACAACAGTGAAAAGAGGATTACGTGTAGTAATGTACGCTTTATTACTGTTCTTTTATGTACAATATATAAAAAAACACGACTCATTAGGTAAACACATCTTTGCTGAATTATGGTATACGGTAGTTCGTTTGCAATTCGTATGGTTTTGCGATGTTACGTATTTATCCCACCCTGCGCCCGTGCGATTGCGTACTGCAAGCGATTACAGTACTCTCACGGCTAGTTACGCTATCTCGGCACCCCGTTTTCGATTGAATGACTACGGGTAGAACTAAAGTAACACAAAGGCTCCTGTAAGCGGATCATCTCCAGTTGAATTGAATTACATTCTACGGACATCTCTTACAGAAAGAATGAACAAATCCCATGGCCTATCATCTACAAGTATGCGCTCTCACTTTCAGCACAAGTCATCCTCACAAGGATACCTCGTATCAGATTTCTATGTCTATGGAAATATCTACAAGTGCTAATAAATCAACTACAACTCGAAAACAAGGTGGCCGTGAGACGCAACTACTAAGCAGTTCATGATGAAAACTATCTCACGAATTAGAACTCTCTCTTCCCTCAGGTACCAAGTAAACTTCGTCCCCTCGAGTCCCTCACTGCACTGCACAATGCATAATAGCATCAATGATTGTTCTGTGCGAAACATCCTACTATATATAATTCGCTAAGTATGTCTGTGTGTGTGTGTGTGTGTGTGTGTGTGTGTGTGTGTGTGTGTGTGTGTGTGTGTGTGTGTGTGTGTGTGTGTGTGTGTGTGTGTGTGTGTGTGTGTGTGTGTGTTTGTCACGAAATTCATAGCTCGGGTCACAGCAACGATAGCGCCATGGTTCTTACATATGTTATAGGGGGTGGGATGGGGACACAAGTGGTACGTGATAGGAACTGATAACGACTGATAATAGCTGATAAGAGGGGCTAGAAAGCGAGCATCGCCAATTTCGTTTTGTCGTTCATATTGGTACTAGAGCGTCTATACTTACAAGTGTTATGTGGGGTGGTCCCGGGACATTGGTGGTACATGAATGAAGCGATAGCAACTGATAAGGGCTGATAAGGCGCGTCAGAACGCAAAAGTCGTCGATTCCGTTACCTGGCTCGCGTTGACACCAGAGCAACCATACTTACAAGTGTTATGTGGGGTGGGACGGGGACATTGTTGGTGGGTGATGGAAAGTGGTTACAACTGATAAGGCTGATAAGGCGCGTCAGAACGCAAAAGTCGTCGATTCCGTTACGCAGCTTGCGCTGACACTAGAGCGTCCCTACTTACAAATTCTATTTGTAGTGGTACGTGCACATTGTATCATTGTATGACCAGCTTACTTAATAGCAGTCGATTGCATAAACTCAATCAAGTCTTCAGCAAATGATAACTTTCATTTCTATCAAGAAAGCCCAAACTCATTAAACCGCTAATCCTTTCGGGGTTCTAAATAATGGTGAATGTAAATAAATGATAAGCCTTAGCTCCTCACTTATGTAAATAGGCATATTTCATTTTCATTTTGAGACTGACAGCAATCCTATTCACCGCTAAATTATCTGAATTCAAGAAGAATGCTGGATGTTTACAGTTGTGAGATAAATATGCCAGTTCAGCTCCAGACGTTATCACGCGTATTCTCGATGGACTTCAGCGAAACTGGGAAAGGTCTAACACATTCAATAGTGAGGTGGTTAATGGAGTACCTCATGCTGATATTCCATGGGTCCTCCAGTTTCGCTAAAGCCTGCCGTGTGATGCGCGCGATAGCGGGCGGAGCAAAACTGGTTATAAGTACACTAGCACTTTACACTATGTTTGCTTGTTAGGAAATAAAGACATGAGAAATCAGAGTGGTTTCCAGGCGCGCACATGGTGTTCCAACGATATGTAGAGCATCTCTCGGTACCCGTCACCTATCTGAAAGGAGAAATGCATGGCTCAACTCAGTACAATATTCGGAGCTGTGCTAGTTATGAATTGATTAGTCTTCCCATTTCCTTTCATCACGAGCCCCGCCTGTGATCATCAGTTACAAATGTCAACGCCAGTAGAACTAGGCGTGGGAGTACTGTAATCGCTTGCGGTACGCAATTGCACCGGCGCAGGGTGGGAGAAATACGTAACATCGTCGGGGCCGGGTTGCCGATGAAGGAGCTGTAGCCACTTAGCGGTGCTGT